CAGACATTCATCACTCTAAAATCAGTGTGGAAATCTTCAGCATAAAAAAAAACAAAATTCGAATTTTCAGCACCAATGTTAGATCAGCCATTGCTTCTATATGAGTCAAAAACTTGGCGCATGTATAACAGAGAGTATTTCTAACAGGTTGCTACAGAGTTTTATCGACAACTGCCTTCTCTGGCTCCATAGTGAACATCAGATAGCAGTCCAGAAACAAACAGAAACACGAAACTATGAGAACAAACAAACCAAGAATCTATTGCCCGACGAACATTCTGAAGAAAATACAGATGGATTGGGTGTGGCGTATGTCGGCAAGTCTCTCATGTTCTACGGTTACACAGGCACATACCAGAGAGACATTTGAGTGGCCACGCATGAGAGGTCATCACTCGAGTGGAATCTGAATGAAAAACAACGAGTTGAGTGTTGTTCCCAATGTGAGGAAGAAATGAGGGTCTATGGGGGATCGTTGAAGAAGCCAGTCGAAGAAGACTGCAGAGAACACGGTGAAATGGAAATGTTCTTTTGGAGCCCCATGTTTCACTCGGAACCAAGGGGAATAATAGTAATAATAACCTTTCTAGTGGGAAGATACTTTTTAGGCGATCATTTCAATACTAAAGTGAAAAACACTCGAGAGAGAGACGAGTAAATACCCCAACACTTTGGCATATGTTTCATTATTTGGTTGTTTTTTTTTATGTATGTATTTATTTCTGACAACTTTGAACGTATTTAATGAATTAAACAGAAAAGAATTTGAGGGAATTTATATAAATTCACTGATATATATATATATATACATAAATGTGTATATATCAACAGATTGTATTATTATTTTACTGGGTAGAGTCCATTCCTTTGCCGTTAATACTACTACTACTATTACTACTACTACTCAACATAAAATGTCTGCGGTTGTCATGTTTTTTTCCACTTTTGTGTTTAAAGGTAGCAAAATAGTGTGATGACAAGTTATGGCGCCAAAAATCTTAATATTTTGTAAAAACACAAAGGTGGTTAATAAACTCACCTTACCACTTTTGACGGGTTTTCCACATCACAAATGTACGCACACATACACATTTATAGGTACAATGTGAAGATCAGGGGGTGGGTTGGGAATATTCCCTTGTCTACACTCATATATATTTAGATGAAAGGGTACGGGAAACCAGTGGAAATGGAAATGAGTCAACGGACTTCAGTTTCAGTTTCACTGGCAGGTTGTGTTGTGTTCATTCTTACCTATGATTGCTATTATTAGTATTATTATCATTTTGAAGGGGGAGTGGGACTAATCTTTTCTGAAAAAAAGTAATCACAAAATAATTCATCAATGGTATCCTTCATAAACACGGAAAATCTAAAAGAAACTCTATACATTTGTACAGTTGTCATTTCTACAGCATTTTGTATTGAGTTTTCCTTGAAACTGAGCCGACCTTATGACATATTTTTTCCGGTGGTATTCAACAAATTTATCATGTTATGTTGGCTTTTTTTGTGGTTTTTACTTGGGGAAATCAAAGTCATAACGAATAAAATCAATAAGGTGTTCGTTTATATATTTTTAGGGGGAAAAAGAATTTTGAGCAGAAATATATTTTTGAATTTGATGACTATTCGTGTAGCGCGCTATCGAGTTTATAGTAGACTGATAACGTGATTTGTATAATATAAGTGAAACATCCATAACTTGCAGCTGGAGCTCATCCTAGTTTTACACAGACTTCTTTGAATTAGTGAATAATAATTTCACATCTACTCAAGTTATGAGTCGGCAGGGAGCTGATCATGAATCTGTTGGATAGATCTGTCTGTGGTTAATCAACTGTGCTGCACTATAATGTGTGTTTATGCAGGTGGTTTTTATTCCAGTCTCTGAGAATAATTAACTCATTTAGGAATGGTTTTATCACAAGTTTCAGTTAAATGGAAAAATCCTGATCCTATTTTAGACTCATCAACTGGATGTACCTGCATTCTCCAGTGAATAGCGGTTTTCTCATTGAGATTCGAACTCAGTACCCATTGTTTGGAATGCTAAACTGTTATTCAGTAGACCACTTTCTTATTTTCCCGTTAACTGATGACTGAACCGAAACGTTTGGCCTCTGTTAACATGTCGGCTGTCAGTATGGATGCTTCGATAATGTCTGAAGGTTAACAAGAAGTTAATGAAAACAAAACACGTAGTTCAGCTAAGAGTTTCTTTTCGGAGAATTCATTCACTTAGTTGTACAATCTCAATTATATATACTTATTTTTTGCATATGTGTGTTTACATAAGCTTTGTCAGAAAAGAATAAAAATAAGTTTGCGTTGTTGTTTCAGTCATCAAAATATTTCAAAAAATGTGATGTAACTAGGGTAGGGTTGATGAGTTGTCAAAAAATAGCTGTCATTGTTAGTCAATGCATAAGAGAAGTTGAATAAGTGTATTGTAGTTGTGTAATAAGGTGAACAGTTTAATGATGAGTGAGTTGTGATTAGGATGTACATAGAAATGAAGAAAAATATGAAATTATGTGGGAGTTGTGAAGGTATTCAAGAGTTATAAGGAGTTAGAAAAGCAGGCACACAAACATCAAGTCAGTAGAAGTCAACACAGTTGTTGCCATGATAGTAGAAGTGGTTGAATGATTTTCTTTTGTATACATAACTCAGGTTTTTCCAGATGAATGGATAGGGCTTCAGCAATACAAAGGAGGCGAAAGCGTATTGCCCTTTTAGTAGGTTATTCTTGACTCTGTAGATCACTTTGAAGGAGACGTTTGTTCATATGGAATGACCAGTGTTGTCAAAGTGTTCGATGATCGCGCTCCTTATGCAGTCACTGTCACCTCTTTGCAGCCATGCGAGATAGTGTTCTCGAACCCTTTTGGAGAGGATACGCATCGAACGACCAATGTATCTCGCTCCACATCTACAGGTGAAGTGATATATGAACATAGATCTTGTCCTTAAGCCTTTTTCATACCAATCAAAAACTGGAGAACACTACTCCTAACCTTGCTGAAAAGAATGTTCTTGTCAAAGATGCTGAAATTCCCCTTTTAAAGATATTTTAGACCAAGTCTCTCCTGAAATCCAAGTTCATGTAAAGTTTCTTTTTTGAAACTTTAAATGTTTCGCTCCTCTGGGCTTTTGGTATAACATTCTTGTCTAGAAATCTTGACAAGTATCCATTTTGGAAAAAGGTTTCCTTCAGAAGATCCATTTCTGCTTCCAGGCTGTCAGGACTACAGATGCGTCGGATAGAAGTGGCGAGGGATTTAATTAAGTCTTGTTTTCGTTCAATATCCACTCAACTGTTGAAACTTGTTAGTTGACTGTTCCAAGTAGATTTTAATTGGACTGACCTTCCTAAGGTTCCGTTAGGTCTTCTTGTTAATCCCACATCATGAAAGGCAATTTTGAACTCGTTTACCATTTCTAGAGTGAATTTTATTGCTGGATGACAGTTGTTGAATATTTGTGGTAATCGATTGGGCCGACCATTCACATGGTCCGGGGTTCGATCCCCGGACACGGACGCACTCCTTTACCTCGCTAAGCCAGAAATAATGCTGATGAAGAAGAAAGATTGGGCATGAGGCTAGCAACCCCATCCTGTAAAATAAACACTGCTACAGAAACTTCAAGCCACTAGCTTGAAGCCGTATGTTCCACTGGGGAACGTGAAGGAAAAAAAAATTGGGGTCCCTATTATTGTTGCAAATGATGTAAATGTAATCTACACACTGCTTATACAGTTTCAGATCGTCAGTAGACGACTTTAATCGGCCCTTCTCAAGGTTAGCCATAAAACAGTCTGCTAGTAATGGACCCAAGGGAGATCCAATTGCAATAGCGTCTTTTTGTCTGTAGACGGTGTCACTGAAAGTGAACCGTATATTGAAAATACATCTCAGCAGTAGTTCTTTTAAATATTTTGTTGGTATTTTAATGCATATTTACAAATAAAACAGTTTCTGTAAGTGGGATATTGGTGAAAAGTGATTCGGTGTCGAAAGATAACATATCCTGTATGCAGTTGACGAATTGGAAAGTATCATGAAGTAGGTATGTGCATAGATGTTTCCTTCCAAGTTCTAGAATATCAGCCAACCATCTTGCAACTGAGTAACAGAGGGAACCTGATATATCTAGAACTGGACGGAGTGAATAATCAACTTTTATAATTGAACCTGTTAGTCGGATATTATCATAGACATAGCAGCTAATTAACTGACCAATTTTTATTCTTTTCAAGATATGTGTAAGCTATATCTCAATTAATTCAGTTTTGTCTTTTTCGTTGGGAGACTGAGAAAATTTATTTCTGTTTAAGAGTATATTCTTCATTTTCTTCATGTAATCTTTTTAGTTCAGAAGAACTACAACAAAACCTTTGTCAGGATGGATTATTAGTGTTATTACCTGAAGTTATTTCAAACTATTCACATTACTTAATTGAATTTTAGATTTTCCCGTCGATTGATTGGACCGAAGTGCTCAGTCTCAGGTTGACATGTCGGCTTCTTGTGCAGATGCTTCGACGATGTCTGGGCATGTAATTAGAAGTTAGTTAGTGGATGGTGACTAGCAGTGGAGTCTAGGATGCGCATTTCGCCCTAATTTGTAGTCGTCATCTGGATGTACCTGAGACCGAGCACTTTGGTCCAGTCAATCGGTGGGAAAATCTAAAATTCATTTAAATAATTAATATGACCTGTTGCACAAGAGGTGGCTCTCGTAGCCCAAGTGGTCTAGTGGATAACGCTTTGGCGTTTCAATCTACGGGCACTGGGTTCGAGCCTCGGTGGAAACATCATCATCGAGATGACAGGTCCCAAACGGGATGCAATGCACATCCTGGATTCCGCAACTAATCACCATCCATCAATTAATATTCACATCACTATATAAAAATCTTGATCATTTCATCAAAACTTTTCAATTTTACTCTCCTTCTTTTTTTAATATTTTTTAAACAAATTAATTTGTAGATTCAACGACCAATATCAATGAAAAAGGATGGAATTCAAACACGTAATCGTAAAGTATCTCAAAAGACAAAAAAGCATAAATTTGGTTTTTATTCAGAACTTTCTGATTTACCAGTTGACTATTTAATGAAAACACCATTACACCGGTTTGGTGCAGCTGCAGCAGCAGCTGCTGTAGCAGCATCAAATCACTTTGCATGTACTACTCGTTGTCTACAAACTATTCCGCCTAGTTCACCGAATTCTATGTGTAATCCTTATTTAACTGGTTATTTTTCTGATGGAAATATCAATAGTGGGAATATATTGAATGGGATAAAACAGCATAAAGATAATGGAAGAGGTGAATTAGATCATTCTGATGAAGTTGGTCAGTTTACTGATGTTACAAAAGCATTTCATGCTACATTCGGTAGTTTAACAAATAATACTGGAGAAGAGATTAGACATTCCAGTTTATTAAATAACAATAATAATAATGATAATAACAATAATAATAATAGTGGTAGTAATCATTTCCAACTGCCTTCTCCACATCACCACTCACAAATTCATTCTCAACACCATCTCGAACAACAACAACAGCAACAACACCAACAGCAACAGTACCTTCAAAAACAACTGTCTCAACAGACAAATCCTGTCAACTTTACAAGTGATCTTTATAACCAACAGGCATCTTCTTTAATAAATAGTAATAATCATCAACAAATGAATGAAAAGTACTCAAGATATCAAAAATCGAATTATAATTCTGGACTAATGTATAATCATTCTACTAGTGATGAACAGAATGCTGCTGCTGCTGCTGCCGTTTCCAATAACAACAATAATGGTAACGGAAATTCAGAATGTGCGCCATTAGGTGTGAAAACCTCAAGCCTAGTTCATCATTCACCTACAGATGTTGTAATGCTACAATGGAATTCCCACTTACGATCTACACCGAATCAATTAGACGGAGGTGTTGGAAATTTCAGTCCTAATTCTTTATATAATCGTCAGCATATTAGTAGCCATAGTAGTAGTAGCAGTAGTAGTAGCTGCGCTGGTGGAAGTGTTACACACCCTTATTATAATCAGCCAGATAAAAATGACTCGGATCAAATCGATAATAATAATAATAACAATAATTTAACAGATTCCATAAATCATCATTCTGTTTTATTGTCATCAGCAGAACATCGAAGTAATGGACAGGATTTATTGCATTGTCATGAAATGAAAGTCTGTACGGATACTTTAACTCCAAATTCACCGAATAGAAGAGGTAATCTTGACAACGGCTCATTTTCTGCGGGCAATTATCATCATAACAATAATCAAAATTTAGAGTCTGTTAAACCACAAAAGCAAGAACAACCACAACCACAACATCAGTTAACAAATCATTCTGAATTAGGAGGAGGAGGAGCATTCCCTTAAATTGTCTTTACCTTCTTATTGTCTAGTTATTTATTCGGTTGTGATATTTGCACATACTTACACGCATATATACATATATATATATACGTAGCCATTTCAACTTCCTACATTCTTGTGTAAATCGTCTAGTGTACACGTCATCATAACATGTTGTATTGGAGACAAAAAAAGAAACAGCCTATTTGAAGCAGTAGATCCTAACTTCAAGGGGTTATCGCAACAATGAATAGTCGGTATATATATGTATTCTTACTGCTTATCTTCAGGCGGTTTATTTCATTCCATGCAGTATAGCCATCCCTTGTCGAGGAGAGAATAACACTTCACTTCAAGAATCATTCAAAGGATGATTGCAATATGGAAGAAGAAAGCCCTTTCTGTCTCTCTCCCTTTCTCTCCAACACAAACACATACGCACACAAACAGGCACATGCACATGTCCATGCAGGAACAGATTTTAAGGGCGGATTTAAAAATTATCGTATTATACTTCTCTTCGTTACTTTAAATAAAAAAGAAAGAAAGAAAAAAACTCTATACTACACTAACTTGATGACCATTATTACTGCTTTGCATTTTTATTCTATATTCTACATAAAAGTAAATCTAATCTAGGCGTGTCACTAAACTCCAACAAAACGCAACAACAACATCATTGAAGTCATCCTGTTTCGGTAAAGTCGAATTGCCTAGTGTAATCATCAAGACTGGGTGTAGGCGCGTGTGTGTATGTGTTTACGAATGTTTGAGTGTGCACAAGGCTTCATATAACCCGCTTCACGCAAAAATTCAGATTATTGTAACATTCACCATTATTATTATTATTATCCTGTTTGTTTTCAGAAAGAGAACAGCATTAACACACATGCATTATGATTTTTGAACCTACTATTCCCTTTCTACTCTGATTGAAAAGTTTGTTGTTTATGCATACAATAAACTCGACCTTTTCTTTTAGTTCTACATTTGAATTGAAAATATTTTAAATATTTTATTGCAATAAGTATTAACATATAATGGATTATAATAATGAGTTGAAAAATATATAATTCTTTATTCAAATTCTATTAAACGCAATTTATTTTCCTTCATCTTTTTTTAAAAAAGGCAAAACAATTTCTACTCCTTATAAAAATGATATTTAAAGTAATCAGAGTGATGTAAAACTGTCAAATGATTACTACTCAAACTACTACTACTACTACTTATCGATGTGTGAAAGTAGTATGTATGACTTACATTTTAGATAAAAAGGTGATATCTATGCGTACAACCTATGCCTAAACTGTATGTACATATAGACATTTAAATATCGAATTTTTTGTGTGCATTTATTTATATTTAAATATGTCTGTATCGATAACTTCTATATTCCTCTTCAGCGTCTGTATAGTTGTCTCATCAGTCGTTTTTGTGTGTGTGTGTGTGTGTGAGTGAGTGAGCGTATTGTTTCCCGTGATCCGCCGGTCACTAATTTCTTTGCCGACTCATATTCCGTACTACCACTATTATTACTATTACTGTTATTATTATTATTATGTTCCTCAGCAAAAGCGGACAGACGAACACCATTATTATTGTTACTATTATTACTATGTGGTGTAACTGTATGACTTTTTAAACGCAAAAAAACATGTTACACAAGGTTATTAAAAATTATTTCAAATTTTAATGATTTCATTTAAATTTTACTTAAATAAATGAATAAATAAATAAAATAATTGGGTAAATTAAGAACGTAAATAGAAATAAGTTTTACAAGTGAATCAGAATGATAGAGACAATAGTATTGTATAGTTAGTTAATAATAAATATCAGATGATGTATTCTTGGTTTTAGTAAAAAAGTCTCTTTATATTACATCATTATTGTTCGCTTTGGTTTCGAGGGTGGAACACAGATCATCGACAGAATACCTTCATTTCGCGCTGTTCCTTCCAATCCACTTTAGCTGGCTCGACAATTCTCCACAGACGATCATTTCTTCCTCACACACTCGAAGCAGCACTGAACTCGTCGTTTTCCCGTCTCATTTTTTCGGGTTTGACAAGAATGATGGCCTAGTGAGCGATTTCACTCAACGGTCTCCTAAGCGTTTGTTTGACCAATCTTGCCCTATTCAGGTAGGTAGTTACCTAGGGTTCTAGTGAGAAGTCGTGACCAGTAGGGTGCAGCAGGTTGGGTGTGAGGATAAATACTCGCCGAAAACATTGGCTAGCGGTTGCGCTATATCGTGAATTGGTAAAAGTTAGAATTTATGGGCCTTTGGATTGGGTCCCAGTGGCTTAATGGTATACGAGCTGGCCTTGTAACCAGAAGGTCCTGGGTTCGAATCCCGATGGGTACGTACCGATGAAGAGTCCCAAATTAGGACGAAACAGCTGTCCAGTACTCCCTGCAGGTTTTCCAATGGTTCTCTAACTAATGTCAGCTCATGATGAAAATCCTGTAACCAATCTCTAATTTGTTTGGAATATTTCTTCAGCAATAGGTTATAGTGATTGATTGGTCCCCTGAGATTCTTGTTGCTAATTCTTTCTTTGTCGGCCATTTGATCTTCAGTAGGTAGCCAGCGAAGTTATCTGTTAGTCTGCTTGAAGTACTTTTGATTACACCCTGGCCAAGTTTTTGACCCGTATAGATATAAAATCCGAATTTTATTGTTGATTGCTTAGCAGAGTTGACCTCTACTCACTGAATTTAGAGTGATGAGCATCTGTCCTAGATTTCCGATTGTGGTTTTGAGGTCTTGATCCATTCTGTCGCCTGTAGTTTGAGACGATGCTGTATGGCCTAGATAAATGAAAAGGGTGATATCTATTTATACATAGTTTTAAAGTATATGAAAGATTTTTTACTACGACAAATCCCAAACTGATGCGAGGCCCTTTATGTATCTTACTAACTATGACGTCCAACCTTGCCCAGTCTAACAGAGTGTCATAAACTTGAGAAATGAGGACAGGTTAAGCATAGGGCCAGCATAGGACCCCACCATGGGATCGCTACAGAAACTGGAAAACGCGGAGGAGGGTGCAGAGTAGGAATCAGAGAGACGAAATGACGCGTCAGGGTAAAAGTTTTCGAGAAGTCACTCAGCCTATGTGTCTTCTTACGATGAAAGCAAAAATAAGTATGGAGACATGGAATGCGCTCATGGTGTGTGAAGTTGGGAAGGCTACTAAGATGTCGTTGAAATAGCCTACAATACTGCATTCTGGCGCTTACACACAAAATGATGAACACTGTTCCAATCATAGTTCACAGTAAAGTGCAATGAAAAACCCTATATGTAATTATATTAGCTGACTAGAGATGCAAATCATAGGTCGAAGTAAATAATAATACCAGCTGTATTCGGCATAAAATGTTTACAATTTATAAAGAGTTTTCAGCCTAGTTTATTGCCTAATACTTCCTCTGTATCCAGGATCTTCTAGTAAAATAGCCAACTACAACATGTAATTCAATGCTTTTCAGTCTGAAGAATAAAATTATGTCTCATGGTATCTTTATCTCATCGCTGAGAGATGCATAACAGTTGACGTGATTATATTTGCCGATCCACCGATTAAAACAAAATGAGAAATAGAGAAGATTTCATGCATTTTGTGTTGGATGGAAATTTAGCTAGCCTAGGGATTCAAGCAGGCCGCTGTCAAGTGGAGGATTTCCTTCCAGAAATAGAAACAGTAGTTTAATGGTCTACGAGCTTTTCTTGTAACCGGAAGGTTCTAGACTTGAACATCGGTGTGTGTGTGTGCTGATGAAGAGTCTAGGAGTAAGATGAGACAGTTGTATAGTATCCCCAGATTTTCCAGTGGTTCTCTAACTGATGTCAGCTCATCATGAAATCCTGCAACCAGTTAAAAGCCTGCCAACCAGCACTTAAAATAAAAACTATTGACTAGAATAATTTTTAGCGCCACTTTTATTATTATATACCTACAATGTATGAGGCTGAAGGGATAGTCTAAACTGTATCGTTTGATCTCCTTCAAACTGAAGATAAAGAAATCATTATCCTGAAAATTAATTTAACGGACAATAACTTTTCATCAGTTTGTAATAAGTGGCAAGAAGGATTATTCCTTCAGAAGTTGGATTTTTAAGCAATTCATGACATTCAAGGTAGATGTCAAATTCACAATCTGAAAATTAGTTAGCAGTTTGTGATGCAGACAGTTCACGGAGGTGAGATTTCCCGATAGTTTTCTTTTTCAAACCAAATTATTCTCATCACAGTATGTGATCTGCTTCATACCACAAGTGGTAATTAACAAAGGAATAATATTTACTATATACTACTGACTAATGGGGATAAGTAGTTGTATACCAACCATATCAGTCATTAGTGTTTGTTAGCTAGCCGGATTATCAAAGTGATTTAAACACCGGACAGCCGTTACACCTGTTTGGGGCCGACCTCAATGCCGATGTACTTGGTTTTGATTCAGCTGAGACAGCCGAATCAGTTCAAACCACCTGGTATTCCTTATGAACAGGAATCAGAAAGTTAGTGAAAACCGTAGAGCACTGAATGAGTACTTTGTTCCAATTTACGATTCTTCTCTATAAGATGTACCTATCTATATCCAGGTGATTAGTGGTGCTGCCACTACTAAAACTGGAAGTCAACCTCATCGTTCTACGCTGTAAAGGATCAATGATCAGGCTGTTGAACTACTGTAGACATCTATTGTACGATACATTTAAAGCTGTTATTTCTTGTAACTTGTGGCTAACCAATAGATGACTACATGAGGAACTATGTTATGACAATGCACATAAATGTAAGAAATGTCACGCTTTACAAGTGTGACCAACCATATATAATCGAAAAGTAGACACATTCATGGACCATTGGATCGGGTCCCAGTGGCTTAATGGCATACGAGCTCGCCTTGTAACCAGAAGGTCCTGGGTTCGAATCTCGGTGGATGCGTACTGATGAAGAGGCCAAAACTAGGACGAAACAGCTGTCCAGTACTCCTAGGTTTTCCAATGGTTCTCTAACTAATGTCAGCTCATGATGAAAATCCTGTAACCAATCAAATCCCTACAAACCAACACTAGACACATATTTGTTGACTTACTGTAAAACACTGACATGCATGTTGTCATGACAAAACAATGGTCGCAGCTTAAATGTTAAGTACGTGTAAGTAGAGTATTTTGACTTACCATAGAGAAAATACTTCTCGAAATCTTTTGCACCACTGAACTTCAAGTCACATTTCACAACAAACTTCCATCCGTTAAAGAATTATTGGGAACTAAGGAGTACTACCAGACGACTGTTTCCTGCTGTTTTGGGACTCTTCGACAATCTATCCCCACTAACCTAGTACCTTCAGGTCACTAAAAAAGAGCCTTACCATTCAACCCATAGGACGAAATTTAATGGTTCGTGAATCCTAACTTATAACATATCACTTTATATAATGCGGTCATTAGCCAGTGTCGTTAACGGATATCTGTCCTCATATAAGACCGTTGGATATCTTCTTAAGTGATGCTTCTGTAAGCATGGGAGTTATGCAGCACACGCGTAGCCTCTGTTTATTCCTATAAGCCTTTTTTCTATCTAAGAGAGTTCAGAGTAATTTACAAGGGTGTTATAATCATTGTTCAGAATAAAATACTTGATAGTTCTACAAATTAATAGGAGACCAATTTCAAAAAATGCACCTAAACCTTGGAGATTTTTCAGCACTCAGTTTGTAGAGATTTGATTCGTTTCAAGTCTGACTGAGGATAATTATTATCTGTTTGTCTGGTTTCAACATAGAATTTTACACCGATATGCAGCAGTTCGAGTCGCCACACTCCATGTAACACACAAAGCCTGAGAAGAAGAAAGTAAAAAGACACGCGAAATAGAGACAGTAAACAGAGATATGAAGCAAAAAGAATGGTAATATCGAAGAACAATATACTTTTATTGGGTATTATAAGTCACAAGGAGTGGATGCATCTACGCCACTGAGAACGATTTGGAACCATATCACCAATTGTCTCCAGTCTCCACTGGTGTTTACCGTCCCGAAGACTCCAAGCAGTCAAGAAGTCTACACCTTCCTACGTGACTGGCTTAATCTAACTATTGTGGATTTGATTGACTGATTAAGCCATGTTTTGGTTTGACCACCACTGGCTCTTTTCCAACCTGATCCATCTTATGTCAGCTAACATTGCCCACTGTCGAGGAAGGCGATGGCTAGACATGCATGCGTAGCACATGTCCCAACCATCTCAATCGATGTCACTTCACAGCCTCGTCTATTGATTCCCCTTCTTTACGTAGCACTCGA